CCCCAAAACCCCAAAACCCCAAAACCCCAAAACCCCAAAACCCCACTAGGTCGAATTAGAGATAAGATAATTTTAATTTTATTTTATGTGAGGACTGACGATGAAAATTATTTCTAAAATATCTTTTTGAATTGATGGTGGATAAATAGACATTAAAATTTTGGTGTTAGACTCAATTGAGCAGTTAAAGGTTCTTAAATCAATGTAAAAAATAGAGGGTCAAGAAGACGATAATGTCCATCTTGCTCAGAATTCACCTCCCCATCCTTTCTTGGTAACTCTGGAGTTATCGAGGTTCCAGGCAGAGTTCATCATGAGCTCGAAGTACTTGTCGTCATCAATACTCATTGAAACGTTGTTATAGTACTCAATCCATTCGCCCATGTCGACTCTTCCGTCTCTTGAGTTCTCGTGACTAAGACCGTAGTGTTGTTCAAAGGTGTCCAAGAATTCGAGGAGAACATCGTCTTCCTTCTTCTTTCCAGATTTAACATCTGGGTGTTGCTTGGCATTGTAAGCTTGCTTAATATCATCAAGATCGAGAATTCCACTCTTATCTTTGTCCATGATAGTGAATGCCTTCTTGCAAAGGTTAACTCTGAATTGGTTCATTTCACCTCTAACACCTCTTAGGAATTCTTCATAGTCAATCTTTCCACTTCTGTCTCTATCGAAGACTCTGAATAGTCTCTCAGAGTCTTTATCTTCAAGACCTACTCTGAAGTCTCTAACGGCTTTCTTGAATTCGTAGGTATCAAGATCCTTAGAGTTATCGTCATCAGCAATCTTGAATTGCTTGGCAAGACCAATAAGTCCTCTAGCACCTCTGGCAGCGAGCTTAGATCTGAAGAGCTCAAGGAGTTGTTGCTCTGAGTAGCTCATAGGTGGAGTGTTTGAGTCTTAATTTTGCTATTGCTGTTGTTGTTGTGGCTTGGCTTGAGTTTGAGCTTGAGTGCCGAAGATGTTGTTACCACCTTGATATCCAGAGCTAACAGCTTGACCTCTGCTGCCAGTTTGGGGTCTTGAGTAGGTTTGTTGAGAGGCAGTACCTGGTCTTCCACCAGCTGCAGACATGTTTTAGTTTTGTTTTTGAGCTGGGCCGGTTTCCTCCTTGTTTGTCCATCCCTTTCCGTAGTTTCTATCACCATCATTGATTTTCCAAGCATTGTTCATCATAAGCTCGAAATATTGATCGTTATCAATAGAGGCTGAGATGTTGTTGTAATACTCTTCGAATTCTTCTTTGGTAACAATGTGATCTGGTGCATTGTTGTTTCTGATTGAGTGGTGAGTTTCAAAAGTCTCTAAGAACTCTAGGAGAATTTATTCTTCAGTCTTCTTGCCACTGAGGACATCTGGATGAGTCTTGGCACTATAGACACCCTTGATATCGTTAATATCAATGTAACCACTTCTATCCTTATCAAGTTTGTTATAAGCTTGAGCGACTAGCTTCTTTCTGGATGGGTTCATTGGTCCTCTGAGTGCTCTTAAGAACTCGTCGTAGTCAACTGAACCACTTCTATCTGAGTCGAAGTAACCGTAGAGGACTTTAATCTCAGCATCTGCAAAGCCGAGCATGTAATCCTTCACAGCCTTGGTGAATTCGTAAAGATCGAGTGATCTGCTGTTGTTATCGTCCATAATTCTGAATTGCTTTCCAAGACCAATGATACCTCTAGCTCCTCTTGATGCAAGCTTGGTTCTGAGTCTTTCGACGAGGGCATCTGGGTCGCTACCACCAGCACCACCCTTAGCTGGGCTTCCACCACTGTGATCTTTGCCGAATAGGGCCATTGAGAATTCTTTGTAATCAAGGGCTCCGCTTCTATCAGTGTCATAAAGACCGAATAGTGCGTCTAAATCCTATAAAATAAAATTAAATAGTATCGAGCGTATCTTTTGTATTGGTGCCGAATTTTTTCAAACCAGACACCAAAGCAAATGGGATCGTGTGAAATAGATGCAAGCACTTACCTATTTGGTGGGAATCATAATACCAATCTTTTCAATTGCTTTGGCGAACTCCTCAGGCTCGACTGTGCCGTTTCCGTTGAGATCGAAATACTTGAATGATTTCAGAAGGACTGTCTCCTCACTTTGAGATCCACTTGACTTTTGAGCTAACTTGTTCTTCAGCTCTCTTTCGAAACTAGAAAAGGTGGGTTAAGTTTCTGATATATGGGGAAAGGAGAAAATGAGAAGTGCGGCTGGCGCTTTTGCTTACCTAACTTTCAAAGATTCCATAGCTTGTACTATACTTGCGTGTCAATAAATTAATTGTTACTTATTAAGAGAAATCTTCCTAATAAATTTAATTCAGCATAATTCCTATTGAAAGAATTTGAATAAAATAAAAGTTCATTTTCTTGGTAATATTATTCACTGAATTATTTCATGAAAAGTATGTGCTGGGGTTTTGGGGTTTTGGGGTTTTGGGGTTTTGGGG